TTTTATTATATTGAATAGTAATAAAATAAAAAGATTGTTGTATTCATTTTATGTTTCAACCTTTTGACATTAACATATTCGGAATATATGATATTATCATTCATTAGACAAAAGTTAGGAATTAAACATGTTTTAAGGTCCTGATTGACATCCCAAAATCAAGAAAAAACAGAATGATCATCTAAACCAGTGTTCTAAAATTCGCTAGGCGCTAGTCGGGCGGTCAAACACCGCCTAGCCTAGGCGGACTAGGTGCCGATTAGTTGCCGACTAGGCGGTCAACTCGGTTTCAACATAATACTAAAAAATAAAATATTCTTGACAAAAAAATACTACATTAAACAAATGGACTCAACCTCATCCCTCTTTTTTATAAGAGATAAAAACATTTAACTACTTAAAGATTAATGGAATGAACCTCTTCCCTCTTTTTTAGCATCATCAAGCAAATGAATGAATTTTTGCAATTAAGGAAATTTAAATGTCAGGCCAAAGAACAATTCGATTCCGGTACAACTAATACATTACAAGAATTCCCCTGTTTGAGATTGTACGTGCTCCAGCAAATAATTCTTGCCAATTACACTCACAAGTGTACCTTATGAATAGAAGTAGATACATAATAAAGGTACATTTTCTTTTACTATATCTATGTATTTTATTTATTTAGCCTTTTTTATTCTCATGTAGTATACTATTAATGTTATATATGTGCATACACTAACTTCCGATGCCTAGGTCAAGAAAAATTCAAGGAAAACAACGGTGGAATACCAGTTCAACAAATTGGCACGACTAGCTGAAAAGATACTTTTGTGAGCTTTTAAGTAACTGTTAGCTTTTAGTGACTGAAAAGATCTTAAAAAGAAAAGGTGATAGCTGTTTGGTAAAAAGCTGACTGTTTGATATAGTTCTGTTTGGTATACAAGCTGTTAGGACATATTAATACTAAAAGTCACGGTCTTTTCTCAGATGCTACTCTCCGTAGCATCTCAAAAAAGATCTTTTATTTTTTGAAAAGCTCTTAAATTTTTTCATGCCAAACATACAATTAAAAGCTTTTAGACACTTTTTAAACAGTACGAAAGCTAGAAGGCTGAGACTTATGTCTGCCAAACATGCACATGGTATTTCAAGCAACTGTTGTTCTTTCAAGCTAATTTCATTAGACTCACTAGCTGTTGTTCTTTCAAGAAAATTACTCTATTTAGGGGGTGTTTGGATTTGATTCTTAAAACTGCTTCTGCTCCTTCAGGGAGCAGAAGCAGAAGTTGGAGTGTTTGGGTAAAAGTGCAGAAGTGATTCTGGTGCTCTAATTTACTCCTAGAATCAGTTTTTTTAGAAGCTGGTGGTGACCAGCTTCTGAAAACTGATTCTGATTCTGCTTCTGCTTTAAAAAAGAAGCAGAATCAGAATTAGTTCCAAACACCCTTATTAAACATTCTTAGAACTTTTACAATAATAAATAACATCGTAGAAGTAGAATTTTTATTCGTGAGTATATCGTATACATCCCTTCATATGTTCAAGTTTCCTAATCTATTTACTCCGTATTTATTTATATTTATATTTGATGTGAGTTTTCTCTCACTTAAAATAGATCGTAGAATAGTGATGTAAGTACGAGTATCGTCTCCACAGGGACGAAAAAAGAGAATTAAGTATAAATTAAATTCAGCGATAAAAAGAAATAAATAAAATGCAATTGTGCAAGATTTGATTGATTGGAAAATTAAACTGCAAATAAAACGATTAAATTAAAGGGTTCTTTCTAATTAATGACAAAGGGAATATGGATTGATTCTGGGGTAATCAGATTTCTGGTTGATCGGGTTCAATCACATGAAATTAATTTAATTGAGTCTAGCTAATCATTACTAAGTTCTTACCGCTCTCATGGCGTAGAGTACAATAATTTAGGGGACCAGGCTGACCTCTCATTCGATAGGTATCTAAAATTATTGCTAGAACGCGTTTAAATCACCCAACGTGTGGCGCTTTCAGGCGCCGCAAATCTCTGTGCCACAATTTAACGCGTGCGGCGCTTAATTTCAAAAAGCGCCGCAAATATTTTATTTTAAAAAAAAATTATATTTAATATGTGTGCAGCGCTTTTTTGCGTATAGGCGCCGCAATTTTTTTTTAAATTAATAATTTAATACGTAACCGTGCGGCGCTTTTCTGTATATAAGCGCCGCAAATATTTTTAAATAAATTAAATTAATTTATTTTTTTTTAACTTTCGCGGCGCCTTACACAAATAAGCGCCGCAAGTTTCCAACATTTTTTTTAAAAAATTTAATCATATTTAGGATCTTTCAAAAACGTCCTGGAACAGAATTAACAAAATACCAAAAGTGTAAACTGTTTAAAGTCATCACAATATCAACAACATGAACTTCACAAATTACAAAATCAGCAAAGTGTAAGCAATTCAAGTAACCAACAGATTACAAAAATCTTCATAAAAATGATTTCAAAAAACACTTAACACAATACATAATCAATGTAATCAACTTTTACATATTTAAGAGTACATCCAAGAAAAATCGTGCCCATATATTGCGAATGTTATTAAACTCATCTTCAGAATATGCCTCAGTTCTTGAATACCAATCCTACAAATATTTAGATAAAATAAAACATAAATAAAAAATATTACAACTTTTAAATTAGAAAAAATTAAACGAAGTTAAAAAATAAGAATAAATAATGATATACCTTTCCAATATAAAAGCTATCAACATACGAAATCACTTCCCATATGTATCGCATGGTATAATATCCGCATTCTGTGTTTCCGTTTTGTCTGGCACACTTTTTTGAAATACAAATTTACAAAATATATGTATCAAAGTTAATGGTGATTGAAATAAGTTATTGATGAATTTACCTTAACATTATGCCATGTGATTGGCTTTCCATCACCATTTCTTGCGGAAGCAACTCTGTATGCTCTACATTAAAAAATTTATGTTATATGATATAAATAATAATAATAACAATAATAATAATAATCTATAGCAATTATTATAAATAAAAAATATTAAAAGAATACTTACAATGCTAGATCTTTCTGATATTAGAAAAGCTTGGGATTGAATTGAAGATATAGCCTTTAACCGAGGGGCAAATGACTATCAAAATCCAATGAAATCTAAATATAAAAAAAATTACAATTAATTAAAAAATTAAATTTACATAAACAGATACATTATATAAAATAAAACTATTTACCCTTCATTATATGGAAGCAAGATCATTCTTTTTCCAAATGTCGCACACAAAGATTGTTTCATATATGTTATTGTGCTCTTCTTGTCAAGTTGATAAGAACCATAAGAGCACAATAAGGGGCACAAGAACACAACATCATCACGTTGCAAATCATTCAATTTAGCTAAGGCACACCTATAATAAACATAATATAGCATCATTATACAATTTTGAAGTTCAAATCATTTCATTAACTTTAATTTAAATATTGTTATATTTATTTAAAATACTTACAATGCAAAGGATTGAATGATGCACATATCCACAGAATCACCCTCGAGTAGTTCAGCCAAGTCTTTACGATCGATGATAGTCCCAAATTCACTGTTTTGCGGATAGTGAAAAGCATCAACAGGTAAAGCAATAGAGAATTTACACACCTCTGACTCATACCACTCTAGCATCTCATGTAGCTCCAATAAATCTTCGGTTAGTGACTGCAAAATAGTATCACTAACCAATGGGTATGTGCTAGGAGGAACCACAACCCGAGGAGACTCTCTCGGAATAAAAGCTTTATTCTTTTGAATCACATCTTTCCGCTTTGACTTTACCTGATCCTAAAAAATGGTCAGAATGACAGTAACATAGAGTAATTTTGTATTGTTTGATAATTGCAAAGAGTTATTTATTCACCTCTCCTTCAAAAAAAACTAAATGACTAGACCACTCAATAAATGATCCTATAGCGTCTGTCAACACATATATATCAGCATTTTCATTTGGAACTAAAAGAGGACATTGCTCAAAACCTGTAAAAACCATTGAAACAAAAAACAAACTTAAATAATAATAACATTTAAAGATTTGCATCTCACAAAATCTGTGAACACTATATATGGAAACAAAGGATGACATTTCACAAAACCTGTATAAATCATAGATATGTTAACTTTAATGGTATTAGCAGACATCGGAATATTATGTATCATGGCCTCCGGGGCTGTATTATAAGCCAAAGCCATTGCTACATATTTCAAATCTTTGTGTCCATCTTCTGTTTGTGACTCAACAACTAGCTTACAGGATGAACCGTCCTATAATTATTTTCAAAAAAAAGTTAATAAATATTGTAGACATTAATAAATATATATGATTTTAATAATTACTTACAACAAAACATTTTCGTGGAATAGGTGCGGTGGAGTTCATAGTGTCTGCATCTACTGTTTGAGAATGCGTGGATGGAAATGTGGTAGATTGGAATCCTCTTTGAGCAAAAGCTTTTTCCATATCTTTCATCCACTGATCCTGTAACTTCTTCAAATCAGTATCGTTCAAATTACCAATCTTACGTGAACTCCTCGGCTCTCGCTCAAACACTCTTTTATGCCCCACACCTCCTCCAACACCGCGTACACGTCCAGGATAATCAGGTTTCTCAAATATCTCGGTAAGAATATCATGTCGTCCGTGTGGCTTCCACGTCCCTGTAGCAACATCATCTTGAATTTTATCCTATTACATATAAAAAAAGAGTTACAAAATTTATACGTAAAACATTCTTATGTGAAAAGTTTATACGTAAAATATACTTATGTGAAACATACTTACAAGTTTTTCTTTCTTCTTTTTCATGGCTTCGGTGTTACTTGGGAAAGCTAGTTGTCCATCTGCTGTCAATCCAGATCTAGCACAAAACCAACTCACATGTCTCGGAATGTCATCAGAAGATACGCTAGATTTTGTGGAATCCACTTCAGACTTAGTAAAAAACTGATTTAGTAATCCTTGATCTTTCCATTTCGGTATGGAAAGTGCATATCCGGAGCGACCCATATGGTGAGGGTAAATATTCAGTAACGCAGCTTGTTTGTTTTTATCACTTAATTCCTGCATAAAATTTAAAAAGTATGGAATTCATATTATAAAACAAAATTGAATTCAATAAAATTACATTTGGATTATACCTGAAACTCCGGAGTCATGCTCCTAGCGATAAAATCCTCCCACACATCTTGTGTCAAAATGCCTTTATACTTCACATAAGCTTCACCACTATCCTGTCCAACTGGTCGTGTCTTATAAAAAAAGCCAGTCCTCAATCGGTTTCTAAAGTCCCGATGTAACTTTCCCATCTTTTTTATGGTCAACTTGTACATGGTGTCATCAACAAAATACTCATCCTACATAGTGGTGATTTAATATATGCAATTTTAGGGATTCGGGGACTTGTAATCTTTTCTTATTATTAATAAAGTTAAAATATATAATTAAGTGTACATACCTGGATCTCTTTCCACATCTGCAATTTTAGGGATTCGGGGACATGTTTCCAACTTTCAATGTTGATGTTTACCCGAGCACGTACTATCTTGCCCACAAAAGATTTGAACTTCTCCGCCCACGCACCAACTGGCTGACCATTTTTATCAAAATCAACTATTTTTTTCCCGTCGCTAGTTCTGCGCCCACTGCTACTATGTTCCTCCGCCGTAACATGAGGTTCCTCATTGAGAATAAAGTCATCTCCATCACTATCACTCATAGTGTGTAGCTCCTGCAACAGTGTTATTATTAGAAGCACAAATAATATATGAAAGAAAAATGAATTTTAATTCAAGAAAAAAAACATAATAACGTTAAGATTACTTACAATTCACTCATGATATCACTTTGACTTTTTGAAGAAAATTTCTATGCCATCGTTATGATTTCCAACAAATGAAAGATCATCTTCATTGTAATCGATTGTTGCATTTCTGTCATGCATGCCAGTGGACAATGACGGCATATCTTCAATATAATCATCTTCTCCAACGTCACAATCATCCACATTTAATTTTTTCTTACCTGGTAAAACAACTGACCATCGTTTGTTTGAGGGATCCTCTACATAAAAAACTTGTTCAGTTTGGGATGCAAGTATAAACGGATCATCACGATATCCGGGTCGAGTAAAATCTACTAATGTCACTCCTGTTTGATCACGCTGAACACCTCTTCGAATATCGGCCCACTGACACTTGAAAAGTGAAAAACTCATGTTCGTGTAATTCAACTCCCATATATCCTCAATTTTTCCATAGTAAGACATTGTTGCATAAAGAGGATTCTGATCATTTGAACTTGCATATTCTGTTGAAGATGCTACCACTGATACCCCACTATTCTGTAATACAGATTTGGCATCCACTTAACATCTTCATCAACCTCATTATAAACATCATTCCTGTCATTGAAGATGACGTCTTTAAACCAAGATGAAAACGTACGATTGTGTTCTTTAGTCAACCATACTTCACTTTTCAACGGAAATTGAGTCTTCAAAGCATTCATATGTTGTTGCACATATGGAGAAATAATTTCTAAATGATGCAACACGAGAAGATGGGCCTTTTCCACTAACTCATTGTCCACATTCTTTAGTAATTTGTTTCCAAGTATGCCTTTTCCTTCATTCCTATCATCATGTCTAGACTTTGGAACACCTAATGATTCAACATTCATCAAATAAGGTGTGCAAAATTCAATGACTTCTTCATCAATTACACCCCTGATTATACTTCCTTCAGGTCGACATCGATTTTTCACCTTTGATTTCAAATATCCCATATGTCTTTCCATTCCGTACATGTATCGTAAAAACACAGGACCACACATCTTGACTTCTCTGACCAGATGTACCACAAGATGCACCATAATGTCAAATAGTGAAGGTGGAAAATACATTTCAAGCTGACACAATGTAATAACCACTTCAGCTTGCAACGCATCAAGTTTCTCAGGGTGAATTACTTTCTGACATATGGAATTGAAGAAGAAACACAACCTCATGATCGCACATCTAACATGATCAGGTAAAAGCCCTCGTAGAACAACAGGCAACAAATGTTGCATCAGAACATGATAATCATGAGACTTCAAACCAACCAATTTCATATCCTTCAATGATACGAGATTCTTAAAATTTGAAGAATACCTAGAAGGCACTTTGATGCCATATAAGCTTTCACAAAAAATTCGTTTCTCAACCTTTGAGAGTGTGTAGCAACCTGGTGGAAGATAAAAACCATTTTCCCGCGGTTGTGGTGCCAATTCTTTTCGAATATTTAAATGTTCAATCATGTCTTTTCGGATATTAATTCCATCCTTTGTCTTTCCACTAGTACAAAAAAGGCTTTTCACATCGGTCAAAAAGGCTTTTCACATCGGTCAAACAGCCGATGTGGTTCCAGCACATGTGAAAAGTATTGACTTTTCACATCGGTCAAACAGCCGATGTGAAAATTCTTTCTACATCAGTCGTTTAGTGCCCGATCTAGAAGATAGTCTGAAACAGCGTTTTTAATGATATTTCATATCGGTTATAACCCATGTAGAAAAGAAACCACATCGGTTATTATACAACTCATGTAAAAAAGCTTCGATTTTTCCCGGAGCATAGGGTTTTCACATCGGTTATAACCCATGTAAAAAAGAAATCACATTGGTTAGTTCACAACTCATGTGAAAAGCTTCATTTTTTCCCGGAACATATGTGTTTCACATCGGTTATACCCCATGTAGAAAAGCAATCACATCGGTTATTTCACAACTGATGTGAAAAACTTCAATTTTTTTGGTATTTTTCACAAAAAAATTGCAATATATATGATCCCGTTTATACTGTAATCACATCATTAAGTGTATCATCAACTACTATAGCACAATTTTTCACCTGTTCACTTGATCCATCTAAAACAATAACACAAGCTATTTTTCAATTCTTCCACAAATGTTAAACAAGTTCGAGTAACAACTTAGTACATAATAATAAGCTAAAATAAAACAATCCTTGCACAAGTCTAGAGTAATAACACATTGTATAAAGTACCATCAAGTAATAATACTATTTCTTTACAGGATATGAAATATAGATTACTCCATACTAATAATCTGAATACATAGTATGCAGTATAAAATAACCTAAATAAAAAAGCATAAAGTTCAAGTTGTTGTCCAAGGCTTCTTTTTCCTTCCATGTTTAGTCAGAAATCTTGAAAAACCTGAAATTAAAAAGATTCTTCATTAAATGAATAATAAAACATAACTCACATAAAGGTGTGGTTCCACTTAAATTGCACAATCCATTTACATCATTCAAATATGGGCATGCAAATTATAGTCACCAGCTTCAAATGTGGTAATACCGTAATATGTGTATCCTATATATTTGACAAGAAAAATACTCTGACATAAAGTATGGTATACAATAAGCATCAAACAAAGTTCTCTATATTCAAATTGTCCATCACTGAAAACCTGCAACGCTTATTTGCCATCACACGAGATTCTTTAACTAAACCTCAAGAGTGATACTTAACATGGGACCCAACTGTGACTATGTGTGGTTCACAATACCACATAAAGGTACATATGAAGGTGAAAAATCAGACCTTCAGAGTATCCCACAAACAGATATACCAAGAACAGATCACATATACTGTTCGTAGGAAATCAAGAATTGAGAGTATACCTTTGCAGTTGCCCAAAATTGAGCAAAATCAGCTACCCGCAGATTGCGGTCATCCACTAAGATGAGAAACAAATACCAGCAAGAAATGGGTCAATTGCCGAACAAAACTGCATCTGTTGTTAGTAAACTGAAGGCAGTGCATTGGCACTGCATGACCACTTAATCTATCTTTGAACCTTTAATTTGGCAATCTAGTGCAACTAAATGAACTGAACTCCTGAACCTGGAAACAACCTAAGCTATACTTTTTAACTTTGGCCATACTTTTTATGGAATTAAAAAATACATATTCCAGGTTTTGCAAGGACATATCCTGATTAAGGAATAGGTCAAAGCTGACAATATCTACAGCTTATGTAAACTAAAAAAATGGAATGCATGTGGGACTTGCGTTAATTACTTGCAGCAAACATTCAAAGAAATCCACATAAACTTTCAGAAATGCAAACACTTTATCCATATGGGAAGAGAGCTTAACACCAATAAAAGAAAAGATAGCTAAAAGCTCATTGAGATTTTTTAAAACTACACATGTAAGAGAAATACAAAAACTTTTACACAACGCACCAAAAAATCATACCAATTACAAAGGAGAAAGCTCCATCATCAAGGGTCTTCTTAAATGCCTTCAACATGCTTGACCGATAAGCCTACAAGGAAGTTATGGGTTATTATATTCAATACTAGGAGAAGTGTTGCAGGATATCACTACAAATAAGCATGTTAAACAGGGGAAATCATATTTCTATTAAAGACAAAACGTAAAATAACAGTGTAGCTATTTAATATACAGGAGTTGTATAAGGATAGTTAAATAGTTAAAACTAGCTTGTTCAGAAATGATATGAAAAAGCAGCTACACATGGCATAGGTTCCTTTACTCAGAGTTATAACATCATGCAAAGCACCTAGATATATGAAATATGATAAAACGCAATTTTCACCCAAAGTCCCAAATAAATAAAATTTAAAGAATTTGACAACAGCACCAACAGGCACTTAAGGTATCTTAATATTGACCTTGTTTCACGACCTTCTCATAGAGATTACATGCTCACACAGGCACATGTAATCATGCATATGTAATTATGTATACAAACCCTAGCTTTGCATCTAGATATTAAAACAAAAACTTTATACAGAAAGAAGATATTTAGACCAAAACAAACTGCAAACAAATAAAACATGAATCTGGCAAAGTTTCTATCACCTCCTCCATTTCAGGTTCATAGCAATACTCAATGACCTTTTTTATCACAGACTTTTTCCCTTTGGCAGAGCCTGCAGACTTTGAAGCATCACTTTCATCAACCTGCATACAAAAAGTACTCATATATTTACACAACCAATTGAGGTGAATATTCCATTAACTAACAATAAAGAAAATGGTATATGGAATACTCAATAATGGCAAAATAAGTTGAAATATTATTCTAAGAATGATTATAAACTTGCACAAAACAAAGACCTTTTCAACTTCAGTCATAAAGTAATCATCTATCGAGTGAATTCGTGGGGCATTACCACCATTCTCTACCTCAAGGTCACGCAACATTCTTGCCAAATGGCTCTTTCCGCTACCTGAAAGAGGAACACAATGATGTTAACTACCAATTTTGACTTCTAAGCATGCCCGCAGTAAAAACACATCGTACAATTGGCAGAATTGCCAGACAGAACTAAAGTTTTACACAATTGGCAGAATTGCCAGACAGAAGTAAAGACACAATCCTTGATGGAGCATAGTGCAAAGCCTGAAGTTCATGAAAGGCTGAAGTGTTAACATGAAGTGAACACTAGGACATGACTAACAGTCTAGCACTTTTTTAGGATCAAGAAAGAAAAAAGGAAGCAATAGAAGTGCCCCTCGTATGGATAATGTATTCTTTAACAGATCCCTTCCCTGTTCCCCAGACCCTCCCCACCATCTTCACAATTTACACCTCTGACCTCCCAACAAAAAACAAATCAGATTTGAATGGAAACGAAGAATGTGGGTAAGGAAATACAGTTACCATGTAAAATTGAGCAAAATCAGCTACCCGCAGATTGCGGTCATCCACTAAGATGAGGAACAAATACCAGCAAGAAATGGGTCAATTGCCGAACAAAACTGCATCTGTTGTTAGTAAACTGAAGGCAGTGCATTGGCACTGCATGACCACTTAATCTATCTTTGAACCTTTAATTTGACAATCTAGTGCAACTAAATGAACTGAACTCCTGAACCTGGAAACAACCATTTTAAACATAGAGGACATTCCCTTTGCTTTCTGAGCATCTAACTTTGCACCAACAGCATCTAAGGAGTTTCCATCCAGAACAAGCTTTACATCCTCCAATTCTAACGAGGCTAGAACATAATCTACTAAATCAGATAATGAGCCTCCAATATGGAATAAGCTAAAATGGTTAAAATTATGGTATGGAATAAATTGGTTTAGTAGATTTGTGGTATGGAATAAATTGGTTTAGTTTAAAAATATAGAGAGGCTCAAAATTATAGGAGGCTCTCTATATTCAATTGGAGATTATTCCATACCATAATTTTTGATATTCCATAATCTACATCCTCCATTTTTTTTACTAAAACAATAGTTAAACTGGTTTAGTTAAACTGACATAAATAGTATGAAGTATTTAACTGACATAAACTGGATTAGTTATGATGGATAGTCTACCCGGGGGTATATATCCGAAGGGTTATTACGGGGAATAACTTAGAGAGAAGTCAGAGCAAGTAAATAAAGGTAGAGAGAGAGTGTATTATAAATGTGGAGCGTTTTCAGCGTGGTTACAAATGGGGAAATGGGGTGCTATTTATAGTAGCAATAAATGCCGAGCAGGGACACGTGTCAAGCGCTTATTGACCGAGGGGTCACCTCAACTGGTTGGCACTGGCAGCCGCATGTGGCCGCATTTAATGCGGCTGTTGGATGGGACGTCTGTGTGGGGTACGGTGATCTGTACGCATGTGAGGCGGATATCTTGTCGAGTGAGATGCCTTCGGCTATAGAGCAGTAGCCAAGGGCTCTTCCACCCGATGGCACCCTGGTGCCGAGGGCTCACAGTGCCGAGGGCTACTGTTTTCGCCGTTTTCTCCCAGTTTCTTAATTTGCTTGAGGAACCCGCTCTGTGAGAATTTGGAGCCTTCGGCCAGGGGGCCGAAGGCGCCCCTGGCGCGTTGTGCGGGCTGCTTGGTACTCGAGGCGCTGTGATTTGGGCCTGTTGGGCCTGTTGGGCCTTCGATGGAGTAGTAGGAGTCTGGGGGCCGGGGGTTCCCGGGCCATATACTCCATCAGGAGTCCCTCACTCCTTTTGCCGAAAGGTACTTGAGGGAAAAGGAGTAATTTGTGCTTGCCCTTTGATGTTGTCCCGTCGTGATCTCTGAAGTTGGTGAGGAGTTGTTGCTTTTATGTCCCTGCCGAAGGAAGTCCCTCAGTTACCCACATGTCGGGACTTGAGGGCTTGCTTTGTTGTTTGTTGGAATTTCACAGATTTTGTAATTTAATGATTTTCCCGAGGGGGTCCTCCAGTCCCCCACTCCTTGAGGCACTTGTAAAGTGGTGAAAAGGAGTAAAGTAGTTACGTTGCTGTTGTGGGCCGAAGGCTGACGCTTTTCGTTTCATTTTGGGGGGATGCCTCGTTAAAAACCTCATTAGGAAAAACCCTTTGGGAAAAAATCCTAACGAGGGAAAAAGAGTGCACCGAATTCCCCCAATGATGAATCGAAAATGTCAAACCTTGGTAAAAAAAATGGAGAATGGCGGGAATGCTGAGGGCTCTCTCTTCTGAGGGCTCCTGTGTTGATTAGCCGAAGGCTTGCTGTTGATGTCCTGGTGGCGCCGAAGGGGAGCCCCTCAATCCAGGGATCGAGGGCCTGCCAGATGAGGGCAGCAGTGCAGTTGTTACCGGGGGGGTCCACTGTTTGTTGATTAGTTGGTGATGAAGATACCCGAGGGCTCCCATTTCCGTCAATGAGGCAACTCCCCGGGGGCTACCCGGTTTTGCAGTGCTGAGGGGGAATCCCCGGGGGGTGCCCTGATATGAAGCCCTGGGTTTCTGAAGGAGTGACCGAAGGCGTCTGTTATGTGCTGTGTGGAGCGCAACCCGGGGCACTTCTGAGTGAGTGTACCCGGAGGCTATCCTTGATGAAGTGGAGTGAAGTAGAAAACCCGGGGGCTTCCAGAATATAGCCGTTGGAAATATAGCCGTTGGAATACGTAACGACAGGCTATAGCCGTTGGGGGGGGGGGGGGGTGGCACACGTGGCGTGTGATGGCTGGCCGCTCGCGGGCGGCGTCACCGGTTGGGTGAAACGGCGGTGTGTAATGATGGTGGTCCGTCCGGAGGCCCGGTTTCCAGGCCCAAGCCCAGATCCCATCGCCTATAAATACCCCAAGGCCAGGCATTCCTCCGTGTGCGAAAACCTCGTTAGCGAAGCTCTGCCAATTTTTCTAGAGAGAGAAACAGCAGCCCTCGGTTGAATCCTCCGTTCTTAAGGTCAGTTCTCCCCTTGACCTTCAGCCTCTTAGCTACCTGTACTGTGCCCTTAGGTTAGGAGATAGAAAATTTAGAAAACACTAGTGTCTGCGAGCCTTCGAACCAGAGTCAGCATGTCGTCCCAGAGTGATTCCCAGGATATCTCGGGGGAGCCTTCGGTAGAGATGGTGACATGCTCAGATGTGGAGTCTTCGAGTGTGGAGTCCTCGGCGGCTGGTGATGCCGCAGTGGCTATGGAAGTGGAGAAGGACCTCCAGGCCGAAGCCGAGGGCTTCGAGCAAGAGAACGAGGATGAGGAGCTTGCCCTTGCCGTGCAAACCGCCGAGCAGGAAGAGGAGAGGGAGAGGCTGAAGGTGACGGTTGCCATTCCTCCCCCCGGGGTGCCGGGGAAGCCAGCTCCTCCCGGCCATTGGACCCGACGCCCATAAGTGTGGCTCCCGGGAAGAAACATAAGACGAAGGCGGCCCCGAGGAAGAAGCAAGCGGCAGTGGATGCGGGGCGGCCGGTGGGCATACCCGAGGGCCATTCTTTCTTGAATACTGCCACTCTAGAGATGAAGACGAAAGCATCCCCGGCAGAATACCAGTCCACCCAGATGCTGGTTGGGCCTTCAGCGCGCGTGGTGGAGGCCAGGGCGGATGATTTGCTGCGATACGCGCCCGAGGGGTGCTTTGCTGCTCACACCCTCTCGGTGGAAATGGGACTCCGGTTCCCGCTCCATCCCTTTCTCTTGGAGTACCTGAGATTTGTGGGGTTGGCCCCTTGCCAGCTAACGCCCAACAACCACTCCTATGTGGCCGGATTCCTTTCCTTGTGTCAGAGCCGGGGGGTCGAGCCCACACTCGATCAATTCTTCATGTCCTTCAACCTTTGCCGGGGGGGACATTCAAATGCTGAGGGCTTTGCCAACCTTCAGCAGGTACCGGAGTTCCGGCTTTTCGATGATGTGCCCTCGTCTCACAAGGGGTGGAAAGAGAGGTTCTGTTATATCCGCCTCGAGGAGAATCCCTTCCCGGCCCAGCTCCGTAATAGCTTCCGGCGTCACCCGAAGGTGGGGAGCGCAGCTTTGGAGAAGAACGGCAAAGTGCTTGCCAAGAAGCCGGAGGGGTCTGACAAGCATGTCAAGATCAGAGAAGTCACCCTTCCGGAGGATCTGCTTAGCCTGGGCTTCCGGCAGTTCAGGCCGAGGGGCTCCTCGGATGAGAGATACCCTCCCCTCGATCGGGTCTTCGAAGGCGCCGGAGGTGATCACCGAGATGTTCACTGATGCGTTGATAGTTCTTTCGCATTCCGCCTGTTTTTTTTTATGACGTAGTGACTGGTAGCCTTCGATCTAAACCTTCTATTATTTTTTTTTTGTTGCTTGCAGGTAACAATATGGACGTTGGTTCCCTCTTCGCTTTAAAAAACGCGAAAGGAAAAAAGAAGGCCCCGACGGGCGCTCCTTCCAGGGAGGGGCCCTCTCAAACTGTTGGCGCTGCTACCGGCGCCGGAGGGTCCAAGGGTGCTGGGCCCGTAAAAAAGAAGGTTGCTGGAAAGGGGACCGAGCCCCCGGCCAAGAAGCCGAAGACCGCCGCCCCTACCAAACAACCGATCACCGATGTGGTGGTGATTGTGGACGAAGGGCACGCTTCTGCCTCCACCCCCCAGGAACAGATCAATCAGGAGTTCTTTGGGCGGGAGAGGTTGGAGGCGATAGTGCCGAAGGGGGCCTCCGTGTTGGAAGGCAGTTTGAACCCTTCGGCTCTGATGAGCCAGATGCTGCCGTCGGCCGATCGACTGGCCCTTGCCAGGCTGGACGAGGGATCCCTCGAGGCGAAGGTCCTCCTGAATGCTGCCTCCGTAAGTCACCCTCCCTTCTTTGCTCATCGTTATGTTTTCCTTATGTACTATGTTCCTTATGCCTTATTCTTGCCTTCGTGAACTGCAGGCTTTTATGAGCCTCTGCGAGCACCTCCGAAGGGTGGATCAAATGAGGGAGGCCAAGGGTGCCGCCGAGGGGGAGGCCGCCCTTCTCAGGAAGAAGCTCGCTGAAGCCGAGGACTCTCTCCGGCTAGCCACCGACGGCATGGAGCAGAGGGTGCA